ATGGTTATATAATTTGATTATTTTCTTTTGAGCTGAGTAATTGTAGTTATGCAAGGGATTTAATTTAAGAATACAAAAATAGTCAAATGAGTAGTTGAAAGTTAAGCATGGTTGTTAGAATATGGGCCTGTAAACAATATAGAAAAACTCCACTCTTTGACTTCATTTTCAGATATCGTTGGGAGAATATTCTTGCTGACTCATCCCCTACCCTTAATGTTTGTATTTTCTGCACTGTCCCTTTATGTACATGGCTCAAAAACATTTTTCAGCTTAATGTCCTAAAGCAAATTTCGATTAAATAAACTAAAATGACAAATTAACAACTTGTCCCCTGGATTCTTACCTCAAGAATAAAAGGAAAATTATAGCTTTTGACTAGAGAAGTTATAATAAATCTTTCACTTTTAGCATATTTTTATGTGAAGTCACTCGAGTCGCACACGATCACAAACACTTGGTTAGCAGACATTGCTCATGAAGTTGTATTCATTTTTTCCTTTCGATTTTGACCAACCGTTCTGAATTTGTTGTCACTTGTTCAATAGAAAAGAAAATTGCAAATATGGTTATATAATATGTAACGATGACTTTTTGGCAATCGCCATCATTCTTTCTCTGATTCAAAATCGGACATAGAATAATGGCATAAAACTATAGTTAATCACTTATTAAACCTCTTGAATACAAATCATATATTGTTTTTCTTCTATCCTCCTTTTATTGTTGGAATAGGTATTCTGCAATTTAACTCTGCAGCTGCTTGAACTATTTTGAGCTGAATAATTCTAATTATGCAAGGACTTTTAATTTCTGGAGATGACAAATATAGTCAAAGGAGTAGTTGAAAGTTTAGCATGGTTGTCAAAAATTAAAATCCTCCATTCATTGACTTCAGTTTTCAAAAGTCATATATGGTTGAGAGAATCTTGATGACTTACCTGTATTTTTCAGTTTAATGTCCTAAAGCAAGTTTTGATTTAAATAAGCTAAAATGACAAAGTAACAACTTGTCCCTTGGATTCTTACACTACAGATCAACTTAGGATTGTTTATCCATTATCTTTCAGGAACAAGGCTCTAATGGTGGAGGCAGGACTCTTATCAAGATTACCAAACAACATAAACGCCTTAGACGAAAAATCCAAACAAGAACTCGCACATCTCCTCTCGTCAATATCATCTCTCGCCAAGAGCAAATTCTCCCTCGACTCGTCGAAAATCGTTCCCACTCTACTCTCCATTCTCGATTCAACAACTTCATGTTGCATCATGACCAAAAAAACGTGCCTAACCGCACTACACAACCTCTCGTCCGTCCTCGAAAACACCGAAATTTTAATCTCCCTCGGCATTGTCGACCGTTTGATAAACCTATCGTCCGATAAAGACACGTCCGAAAAATCGTTAGCGATATTGGGCAACTTGGTCGTGACCTTAGCCGGGAAAAGGTCGATCGAGCGAAACTCAACAGTGCCCGAGCGGTTCATAGAGATCACGATGTGGGATGAAAGCCCAAAGTGTCAAGAACTATCAGCCTATATACTAATGGTGTTGGCCCATCAAAGCCCGATGCAGAGGCAGAAGATGGCCCAGGCAGGGATTGTTCAGGCGCTTCTCGGGCTGGCTTTGTTGGGAAGCCCGTTGGGCCGAAAGAGGGCCCTCAAGATACTGCAATGGTTCAAGGAGGAGCGGCGGGAGATGAGGGTGGGCCTGCATTCGGGCCCGCAGGGGGCAGTCGGGCCGGGCCCGGAGGAGGACCTGANAAGGAAGAGATGAGAAAAAATTGAGTTGAATTGGTGTATATTTTATGTGAGGGAAAAGATTTTGAGGCTTGGAGCAAGGAAAGAGCATATATGTGGATTTATTGGTGTGGCAACATGCATGTTGGTTGTATATAAGGGGCAAAGGGTGTTAAAATATTTAATTTAAAAAATTTAATTATTTTTTATATTGACAGAAATTATCAGATTGATTCTCAAGAAGCTGGTAAATTGAAAATGATAAATAGAACTCAAATTTATATGATCTCACAAAATATTCATATTTTTTTTTTCGAAACGATAGGGATTTTATAAACACAAATTGCAGGAAAAATAAGAGACAAAATCAACTCAAGAAACGATAGGGATTTTAAAAATTAAACACAAACATGAGCAAACCTAACTAAACTAAAACAAAAAACAACACTTCCACAGCCGCGAAATACCAAGATGCACGCCGGCGACCCCACAGCCAACCACCCCACCGAACGGGACCACGCCTCGAGAAGCTACTTCAGAAACTGCCTAAAGCCTAACTGGACCCGCACCCGAAGAACATAACCCAGAGCCCAGACGGTCAACCACCCCCTGCCACCTCCCTAACCCCAACCAACACCACTGTCGACGTCAGAGATGCCGCCAGCCCCTTAACTCCAGTACCAAGGGAAAAGAGGGCCTGAAAGGGAAAGACCGCTGAACCGCCACTCTGGGCACCCGACAGGTAGCCGGAGCCGCAGCCACCCCTAGAAAGCACATCCACGCTACCTCGCGACACTCAGAGGTCGAGGACACCATCTCAGAACGACACCAGTTCACTGAGAGGCCGCCTGGTTGCCCTCCACCTTTCGCACCGCAATGACAACTTCAACGTGAGACCAAGGGAAAGGCCGCACCAGCCAGAGCCGGCCGCCAACGCAACTCTCGGTGCTCGACTGTGGAAGGCGCACCCACTGAATGAAGGCCGAATGATTTAGAAGGGAGATTAGGTTTCACCGAATTGGGAATCTAGGTAATGAAGACGAGATTGCCCTCGCATTCTTGGACCGACATGATCGTTTGGCTTCTCTAGCTTAGAAGGTAGGTATTTATATATTTTTCTTATTCCTTCTTGTTAGCCAAGATAGGATTTTAGCCTTATCAGGACTCTTTTCTTATTTATCTATGGACTCGTGAAGTGAAAAGGCAAATTATTGATTGCAGAAATAAAATTACGAGAGAATTCATTCTCTTCCCTTTATTCGTGCTTTCGCTGCGTCAGTTGGTATCACGAGACCAGACATGATCCACGATGCCTCCGAAGAGAAACACTGTCGATGAGCAACGGGATGCGGCGATCGAGGCACTCATTCGCAGGAGCGATGCGTCGGATCGTCTCATGGAAGCGTTAACTGGGAGGATTGAGGAACTTACGTTGGCCATCAATACTAACAATCAGACGAACCGTGGCCGCGGCGGAAGGCACGGGGGAGCCCGTGGTGGTCGCGGTCGGGGAGATCGTGGGGCGTACCGCGACCGGTCTCCTCCTTCGTGGGATGGTGATGGTGATGATGACTACGACACCGTCTCCGGCGTGAACCCCTTTGGACATCCAGACCGAGAGGATGATGTTCTGGCCGACGGGAGGCGCTGAAAGTCGTCATTTCGCGTGGATATTCCAGAATTTACCGGCGGTCTCGAGGCGTCGGATTTTCTGGATTGGATGGCCGTGGTCGAGTCTGCTCTCGACTTCAAGGAGGTTCCTGCAAATTGGCGAGTGGAGCTCGTCGCTACTCGGCTTCGCGACAGAGCAGCCGCGTGGTGGCAGCAGCTGAAGGCTTCACGGCGACGGCTAGGAAAACCAAAAATCACGGCCTGGGTTAAATTCTGGAAAAATCTCGACCTTGAGTTCCTTCCTTACAATTATATGCGTAATCTTTTCATTCAATTACAAAACCTAAAGCAGGGGCAACGATCTGTTAAGGAGTATACCAAACTTTTTTATCATCTTTAAACGAGGTTGGATGTGCGAGAGACTGTGGATCAACTTATCTCTCGATATATTGGAGGGCTTCGTTTACCAATACAGGAAACATTGATATTGTTCTCGCCGGAATCAATTTTTCGATGCCCACCAGCGAGCCCTCGTGATCAAACAGCAAATAGCCCGTCGTGCACCGACTGCTATTTTTCCATCTCGCGCGGGGCAGTACAGCGTGGGGTCGCCTTCCGGCCGCCCATCAGCGGCTACCGCTGGTGGTTCCTCGTCAGCCATCTCCGCATGACGTGGCACGGCGCCATCCCAGGTACCAGCAGGCAACTCGCCGTCGGCCGGGACAGGTTCTTTCACGGCGTCAGGTTCTCGACAGGCCGGCGACATGCGATGTTTCTCTTGCGGCGGGGTCGGCCATCGGCAGTCGGCATGTCCTCGTAATGGCGGCGACAGAGCATTGTTCGCCGATCAGACGGGAGATTCTGGGGACGGTGTGTTGTATGATGCGCCGCCTATTTTTTACGACGAGCCACTGGTGACCGAAGAACATTGGTGTGGGGACGTCGGGCCCGCTCTCATTATTCGGCGGTCCTGCTTGGCTCCTAGAACGGATTCCAGTGAGTCGCTTCCACGGCATCATATATTTGAGTCGACGTGTGCTGTGGGCAGGAAAGTTTGTCGCTATATTATCGACCCGGTCTCCTACGAGAATTTGGTGGCCAAGGATGTTGTGGAGAAACTTAGCCTATTAACCGAACCACATCCACAACCATACACCCTTGTTTGGATACAGCGCGGTCACTCCGTTATAGTAGACCGTCACGTGTTGGTTTCTTTTTCGATCGGGCCCAGGTATCGCGATTCAGCGTGGTGCGATGTCGTACCTATAGACGCCTGCCATCTCCTTTTCGGCCGTCCTTGGCAGTTTGACCGCTCGGCGGCACATGACGGTCGTCTTAACACCTATAGCTTCTTGTTTGAGGGTGTTAAGATTGTTCTGCATCCATCACCATTGCGCTCTTTACATGCTCTGGATTCCTCTCCCGTTGTACTTCTTTCCCGTGCTGCGTTTGTTGGTGAGATGCGCGAGGCTCTTTATGTTCTTCTTTTATTGGGCACAGACTCGTCAGACACACAATTACCTCCTTTAGTCCTTCGACCATTGCTCGAGGAATTTGCAGATGTCTTTCCGGAGGACCTTCCAGCTGGTCAACCTCCTCTTCGCGATATTCAGCATCAGATTGACTTGGTGCCGAGAGACTCTCTGCCGAATCGCCCTCATTATCGCATGAGCCCGGCTGAGCACGATGAGTTGCGCCGTCAGGTGGAAGAGCTTTTGCAACGTGGTGCAGTGCGGCATAGTCTGAGTCCGTGCGCAGTGCCAGCCTTGTTTATTCCAAAGAAAGACAGTTCTTGGCGCATGTGCGTGGATAGTCGAGCGATCAATAAAATTACCATTCGTTATTGCTTCCATATTCCTCGCCTTGTTGACTTGCTCGATCAACTCCACGGGCTACTATATTTACGAAGCTCGATCTTCGTAGCGGGTACCATCAGATCCGCATTCGGCCTGGGGATGAGTGGAAGACAGACTTCAAGATTCGCGAAGGGTTGTTTGAGTGGATGGTCATGCCGTTTGGTTTGTCGAATGCGCCCAACACATTTATGCGTGTCATGAATCAAGCACTTCGAGATCTCATAGGTAAGTGTGTTGTCGTTTATTTCGACGATATTCTTATTTATAGCCGAACGCTGGATGATCATTTGTCGCATGTGCGTTCGGTTTTGCTTATACTTCGTGCTGACTCTTTCTTTGCGGCCCCTCTCAAGTGTTTTTTCTTGGTGGATTCTGTGTTGTTTTTGGGGTTTGCTATTTCGGCACAGGGTATTCGTGTCGATGAGGCGAAGGTGCAGGCGATTCGCGATTGGCTGACTCCTACATCCTTTATCGAAGTGCGTAGTTTCCATGGCCTGGCTTCTTTCTATCGGCGTTTTATCTCCAACTTCAGTTTGATAGCGGCGCCCATTACTGATTGCATGATTGGCAAGACCTTCGCCTGGACTCTGGAGGTCGAGGCAGCTTTCACTCTTCTCAAGGACAGACTCACGACCGCGTCCATTTTGGTTCTTCCGGATTTCTCGAGACCTTTTGAGTTATCTTGCGATGCTTCGAAGGTCGGCATTGCGGCGGTTTTGAGTCAGGATGGCTGGCCCGTCTCTTTCTTCAGCGAGAAGTTGTCCGGTCCTCGCCTTTGGTACAACACTTACAACATTGAGTTCTATGCGGTGGTGCGCGCAGTACGCCACTGGCGTCATTATCTGGTCCACCGTGAGTTCATTTTGTTCACAGACCACGAGGCACTTCGTCATCTTGCCTCACAGGATAACATTTTGGCCCGCCATGCATCCTGGACGGCATTCTTTCAGCAGTTCACGTTTGTCTTACGTCATCATTTGGGTGCTTCTAATCGGGTGGCCGATGCTTTAAGCCGCCGGGCCTTGGTTTTGACGGGTATGCGAGTTGCCGTCGTGGGCTTCGACTTGCTTAAGGAGGTCTATGACACCAATCCTTTTTTCGGCCCGCTCTTGTCACGTCTCCAGTCCGGCCCTTTCGAGGATGTGTTGACGGATGGGTTTATTTTTCGAGGTGTGCGCTTGTGTGTGCCGGACTGCAGTCTCCGGTTGCAGTTGATCGCCGACTTGCATGGTGTGGGACACGTGGGGCGCAACCGGTCCATCAAGCTCATTCAACAATCTTATTTTTGGCCCACTCTGCGGCGGGATGTCTCTCGCTTTGTCGCCCATTGCAGGACTTGTCAGGTTTCGAAGGGAGTTGCGTCGAATGCGGGCCTTTATCTCCCTTTGCCGATCCCATCACAGCCATGGCACTCTATCAGCATGGATTTTGTGCTCGGTCTCCTGCGCACACAACATGAGTTTGATTTCATTTTCGTTGTAGTGGACCGTTTTTCTAAAATGGTTCACTTTATTCCGTGCAAATGCACAACAGATGCCGTGCATGTTGCTCAGTTGTTTTTCCGGGAAGTGTACCGCCTGCATGGACTTCCTTCCTCTATTGTGTCCGACCGCGACACCCGCTTTTTGAGTTTGTTTTGGCGTAGCCTTTGGCGGCAGGCTAACACTCGTCTCGATTTTAGCAGCGCCTATCACCCGCAAACTGACGGCCAAACTGAGGCAGTCAATCGGTCTTTGGGGAACTTATTACGCTATTTGGTGGGCGAAGCCTCAGTCAGGCCGAGTTTGCCCATAACTCGGCCGTTAGTCGGGCTACGCAGCTTTCCCCGTTTCAGGTCGTCTACGCGGTCCAACCGCGGGGTCCGGCAGACTTAGTGGCCCTACCATCCACCGAACCACTTGATCAGCGTGCGACTGATTTTGTGGCCGAGTTGCAGCAAACTCACGCCACGGTTCGAGCGAACTTGGAGGCGAGTACGGCTGCTTATAAGCGGTATGCGGATGCTCGCCGTCGACATGTGGAATTTGAGGTTGGGGATTTTGTTTGGGTGGTGTTGACTAAGGACCGTTTTTCAGCCCATGAGTATAACAAGCTATCCGCTTGGAAGATTAGGCCCGTTGAGGTTATTGAAAAGATTAATCTCAATGCCTATCGTCTGCGTTTGCCTTCCCATGTGCGTACGTCTGACGTTTTTAACGTCAAACATCTGGTTCCTTTCCTTGGCGACAACTCCGACAAAGACGAGATTCTGCGGGATTCGAGGGCGAATCCTTCTCAACCGGGGTAGGATGATGAAGACGAGATTGTCCTCGCATTCTTGGACCAACATGATCGTCTGGCTTCTCTAGCTTAGTTATTTATGATTATCTTTTATTATTTCCTTTATTATCCTTTATTTCCATTTTTTAGAAGGTAGGTATTTATCTATTTTTCTTATTCCTTCTTGTTAGCCAAGATAGGATTTTAGCCTTATCAGGACTCTTTTCTTATTTATTTGTAGACTCGTGAAGTGAAAAGGCAGATTATTGATTGCAGAAATAAAATTACGAGAGAATTCATTCTCTTCCCTTTATTCGTGCTTTTGCTGCATCACTAGGAGCCTTTTTTTGGAAAAAAAAATCATTTTTGGTCTGGCCATTTTCCCGGAATGGTCCACCTTTTTGGCATACATCTTAGTACAATAAGTTGAAAAATTCATAATAATTAGTACATTAATCACTTGGTCTAGATAATCTGCCTGCATGGCATGATTCTTATTTCCACGTAATTTACCTAAAAGAACTAAATTTCCATTTAGGCACTTAATTCTTTGTATTTGGGATTGTTGACCGCCCTTTCCTCTCCCATATTTAAGCTCAACCGGGGAAAGGGTGGTCAGTAATCCCGGCTTCATAGAATTAAGTGTCTCATCGTCTATTATCATGTCTAACAACTATAACAATTAAGTGAATAGAGTTGAGAGAACATGATTTTAACATGATAAGATATTTTTTTAGACTATACTACTCATTTACATCTCACCCGCAATTGTTAGAGTTGTTCATAACTGAAAACGAATAATTAGCAGGTGAAACGAATATAACAACTGTTTCACCATTTCGAAAAGGAATGTGAGCTTGAAAATCATGTGCCCGATATTCAAGAGAGTTGTCTCATTCCGGATCGCTCTGCCGACCACGGCTCTACTACCGTCGGTTTGTTTTCGCTCGACTTTAACATTAAGTACTTTTTTTTTTCAAGTAAAGTTACTTTAAAAAAATAAATAAAATAATTAAAAAATCAGAACCAGTCCGGAACTGAGCAAAAACCGGCGGGTCGTTGAACCGGTAGTTCAAGGCCGGTCAACCGGCCCTTAGATGTAGCCAAGCCAATTTTGGGCCCATGTTTTTAGGCCCGACGACGCCTGGCCGGGTCGTGAACCACGGCTGTAAAACAGGCCACGATCCCATACGACGTCGTATGGTGGGGTTGAGTAGAGCGTTACGCAGCGTTTTGCTGAAAGGAGAAAGCACTATAAATTGAAATAAATCTTCTCAGTAGGGTTTTCCCTCAAGAAAAGGACGCCATTGAGCAGCGATATCGACTCTCCTAGGGTTTTTCTCGACCTAGCTAAATTGCATCCATGGATCTCACCAAGAAGCGCAAGGCCGACGAGAACGGCAGAGCATACCCCCTAACCACGGAACTCGCTAACACCATGGCCGCGGTGCTGCCGGTTTCGAACGGTGCCTTATCCCCTGAAGACGCTGAGAAAATCATCGAACCCTTCACGAAGGAGCAGCTCCTCCACATCCTACGCGCCGCTATCCTCCGTCACCCTGATGTCCTGGAGGCGGTGCGCGCCGTCGCCGACGCGGATCCCGTCCAGCGCAAGCTCTTCGTTCGCGGCCTTGGCTGGGAGACCACCACTGAGAAACTCCGCCAGGTGTTCTCCGCCTACGGCGAGCTCGACGAAGCCAACTCCATCGTCATCACAGATAAGAACACCGGAAAATCCAAGGGCTACGGCTTCGTGACGTTCAAGCACATCGATGCCGCGGTCTTAGCTCTGAAGGAGCCAAATAAGAAGATCGACGGCCGCATCACGGTAACTCATCTCGCGGCTGCTGGCAGTTCAGGTAACTCCCACTCTGCTGAAGTGGCGCTGAGGAAGATTTATGTTGGCAACATTCCGTTTGAGATCTCGTCTGAGAGGCTGTTGGCACATTTCTCGATGTACGGCGAGATTGAGGAAGGGCCTCTAGGGTTTGACAAGCAGACTGGGAAGGCCAAGGGTTTTGCATTTTTCGTTTACAAGACGGAGGAGGGTGCAAAGGCATCACTTGTTGATCCCATGAAAACCATTGACGGTCATCAGGTGGTCTGTAAGTTGGCTACAGACAACAAGAAGCAGAAGCCTAATGCGGGGCCAACTGGTGGAGTTGTTCCTGGATCTGGATTGCCAAATCCTGGGCCTATAGGAATGCCGCCAAGGAGTTACCCAATGGGAGGCTATCCAGGGTATGGGCAGGCCCCGAATATGCCTCAGCCATCCCACCAGATGCATCCGAATTCAGGCTATAATACGCCCATGGCTGGGCCTGGAGGACCGAGTGGACAGGCTTATAATAGTGGATATGGAGGTGTTGCATCTGGCTACGATGGTGTAGGTGCGCCTGGACCAGGGGAGTATGGACAAATCGGGAATTCTGCCTACAAAATGCCACCTAGTACTATTGGAATGCAGGGCCCAGGGGTTTATCCAGATAGCTATGGGCCTCCGGCAGCCTATCCGCCCCAGCCAAACCATCCTGCCGGCCCAGGGCCCAGATATCCAGCTTATCAGGGCATGCCTCCTTATTGAGGTAAGGAATTTCATTGATTTGGTATACCCACATACCATGTTTGCATGTTTTCTTATATGTATGGCCTCATGACATGATATATTGGGTTGGATTTTTGGGATTATGTCATCCTAGGTAGGCATGTAACCATAGTGTGTTAGACAACTTGTCAAAAGAATGAAAAGATATGAACACTTCACCCTCAGTCTTATGCCTAAACCCTTGGCAGTAGCATCTCACAACATGTGTCATTGTAGCTAGACACTGCATTAGTCACTGATTGATATATTTATCACTACGAAGCGTGCATGTCCTTAGTTGAATTGAGCGAGAATGGTAGATCGTGCTGCTTATGCTTGCCACTGAAATATGTTTTTTATGTATGTGTTCCTCAGTCCTTTAATTTAAGTTAGCATGTGCTATATTAGGAAGTAGACTCATGGTTTTAGCTTCTTACAGTATATTTGAGTTTGAAATTTGAATGATGGATTGAGCTTTGCATGTTTACGTGTTCAGGTATTTTGACAGCTTCTTGGGCGCAAATCTTTTAAATGGTTGTGCTGATTATGTGATTGCTGCTGTAGATCTTTGTGGCCTGCTTCAATCTGCTACTATGTCTGCACCTATAAGTTGTGGATTTATGAGCAATATTTGTGCTAGAATGAGTCAGAGATGCCTTAAACATGTGATTAGTGGCTTTGAAGTGCTTTAAGTTTGATTTTGTCCTTTTATTTGTTTAAGTTTCGGTTTATCTTATTTCTTTTTTTCTTACTTGATTGTAATTGGTACTTATGTTTTTCTTTTACTTCTAGTTGTTAAATGTTGAGTCAACAATACGTGTCATTTATTTTCCCATCCATTTGTTTTTTCGCTGTGGAACTTTATCATCTGAAGACCATATTGACAATTATTTTGGCTTTCTTTTTCCTTTCCGCTTCATGTATGTAATCCATTCCTGGGTCATCCACAAGTCATATGAATCGGCCTTCCCTGCCTGTGATGAATATTCTTTTCAGAAGATTTGGTTCGATGAGCCCAATTGGATATGAAATCTTTTTATTTTCATTCTGATAAGAAATGATATCTCCCCAAAATTGTTATTGGACACAACGTATTCAAGAAAGACCAGTATTTTCCACACCTCAATATCCTTTACTCACTTCTCAAAGGATAACTTGTGATCCCTACACTTTTGTCCTACAACATCCACTGTTCACCTAGTGTCGACCTTTTCCTATCATTAACATACTGGTTTTGATCCTTAAATCCTCAGCATCAGTTCATGCCCTTAACACTTGTCATCTGTCTCTCTAACTGAAAACAAAATTTTCAAAATTGAAGCATAACCAATAAGTGACAGTGAGTTCTCTTCATCGAATTTGTATTTCATTAATTGTTTAGTTTTCTGTGTGGTTTTGGCTGTTTTCTGTGCTCTGTCAATATACTAACCAAAATCAGAGTTCCCTTGTAATCATTCCTTTGGTATCTTGAAACTGATTTGTACTAAATTTTGTCATAACATGCCCTGCGCTTTGGGATATTATGTTTAAAGTTAATTAATTATTGCCTGGGTATTTGGGTATGGTTTTTGCAACTTTTGGGTGACCTTGTTTATTTGGTGACATTGGCAGTGATCCTTTGTTTGGCTCTGCTGTAAAATCTGTTGTATCACTTGCCACTGATTTGGTATTTTAATGTGGAGGTTTGTTTGGTTTTTGCATGGCAATTGAGAAATATGGTGAATATGAACACCTGGTGGTTGTTTGGTTGGTGAGACCTTGGTATTCCCTTTAAGCTAATTTTGGGTAAAATTTAATACGACAACTTTCAATGGATAGCAGTTTGATTTTGGGATTTATGCCAACCCTTATGTTCGTGTTACTATGTTTCTTTGTTATTATGGATTTTTTTTTCCTGACCACTTTTGGAAGTTATTTCATATAATTATTTCATATAATCTGGATTGCAATAGTAAAATGTTGCCGAAAAGAAAGAGGATAGCTTCTCCCTCATCGGCGGCATAACTTCCTTCATGGATATCTGAACTCGAATTTGGATTATGCCCCTGCCTTGTGTTGCCTGGGCCTCAGATGATTGATCTTGGTCCTTGCCTTGATGCCTGGGCCTTGGATGCTGGGTTGGTGTTGGATAAATCTCGATGTGAGATTTGAATGCAAATTAAGAGCTTTTAATTGGGCCTGAAATGGATATAAATTTTTGACGAAGTAATTTATAAGTTGGCAAAAAGGCAAAATTGTATGCAACTCGGGGCATGTGGTCCGTGGTACATTGATTAATGAAATTGTCCGAGCTTCGTAACCGAAATGGAGGTTGAGTTTTCCCTTGAAAAGGGGCAAAGATTTGTCGAGTTATGTAAACCTATGGTTCCAATGTAGGGACCTTCGATAGATATAAGAGCATTTATAGACTATATTGAAGTGACTGCATGGAAGGTGGGGTGTCATTGCGGAAAATATTTATCGAATGAAAAATAGGTTGGTTGATAAAAAGTGTTTTATAATATATTATGGTGATTGTGATTGTGTTGAATTATGACATGTGCAAGTATCATATTTGATCAGTTTATTTGGATTAATATTATTGGTCTGATTAAAAAAATAGTTGTTTAAGATATGTTAAGAGAAATGCATGGCTCCTTGTGAGAGCTTCTGTATTCTCCGCTCGNTTCAACCTGAGTTTGGAATATTACTAGTTTTTTGTTAAATGTATTTCAGTTATTTTTATCTGTGATTGAGTTTTTCACTAAATTAGGGTAGGATCAAAACGCGTTTTGATTTGCTCATTGAGTTTACCTTTATTAATTATATAACTATTCTCCTTAATTACTTTGATAGGGAATAAAAATGTCAAGATGAAAACTTTTTGGGAAATTTTTTATTTTTATTATAAATATATACTTTAAGAGGATTACCAGCCCAGAAAGTTCGAAAAGAACAACATTGGGCATCTACTTTGAATATATTCTTCAATTTCTTATTTCTTATTATTTTTGTTTAGTTAATATTTTTATTCCCCTACAGATATTAGTTGCTAGCTTTGCTCAGGCCAAAAAGTAATGAAGTGTGTGGGAGAGTGCACGAGTGTGATTTTGTAAATAACACGAAATAAATACACAAAGCGGTTAAACAAAAGTATCTCGCTTCCCATTAGAGCTCTTTCACTAGTAGACAGTTGCCTAATTATTTTTCTGTCCACTATGTGGACTTAAGAGTCTAAGGTGTCGTGAGTAAAAGTGTAAAACAAAAGATGTCAATCTTTCATCCCTTAATAACACGAACTGAAAGCCAGACTAAATCTATGAAATACAATGCTATAAATGAGTTAAATGGTCTTTTAGAATACTGGTAAAGATGTCAATCTTTCAGTCCTTAATAACACAAACTGAAAGCTAGACTAAATCTATGAAATACAATGCAATAAATGAGCTAAATTATCTTTTAGAACACTCAGTGCAAGCAGAACTCTCTTTCAATCGTGCAATGCTAAAACAACGAGTTGTAAGCATGTACTCATGTCTTTAGTCGTGAGTTTTCAGAATCTTCATAATGGGAAATTTAGATTTGTATCATCATTGCTTCCTCATAATGATCTAAAACCCTCTGGATATCAAGGATCCTTATCTCAGTTGAGGAAGAGCATAAGCATGCAAAATTCATTGAGTAAACAGTCTACACTCTGTATCTCACACAATCCAAATAATTAGTGCCTCGTCGTTTGATCGAGAGAGAGAGAGAAAGAGAGATAAGTTTTGAACTTGCGAAGCGAAGGCAGAATATACATATAGTGCCTCGTCATTTGATCACGCGCGTGCGAGAGATAGATAGATAGATATATATATATATATATATATATATATATATATAGAGAGAGAGAGAGAGAGAGAGAGAGAGAGAGAGAGAGACGTTTTGAAATTAAGCAAACACCGAAGGCAGAATATACATATAGTGCCTCATCATATACTCCATTGCTACTAATGTAATACCCAAAATCCCACCTTTTAATGGTACCCTATAAAACAATTAAATACAAAAACCTGAAAGATCAACATCAATCAAATTTCAAAATACCAGTACACAAGTATCAACAATGGAGTTCGACAAGTTGGGGGGCTTTTTCAAGAAGTTGAGAAGTATCCCATCAAGAATGTGCATTTTTCCCCACAAAAATAACCAAAGCAAACAAAAAAACATCGAGACCGACACACATCAACACATCATTAATTTGCCATATTACCTTACACGAAAAGCTCACGAAAAACTTGAAGGATCGGTTTTTTAAGCACGTTTGCCACTGCAAGGATTGGACTTTGTGCAGAGAGTCTTTCTTCCCTTGGCCCGCCTACGACTAAGCACAGCCCTGCCTCTTGTGGTGCTCATACGCATTCGAAAGCCGTGTGTTCTGGCAAGTGACTTCCTCGAACGATTCCTTTTCGTCTGGCAAAGGCGATATTTACTTGCCCTCACCACAAAGCCACGCCTTTTTCCAGAAGAAGGCTGGATGCCGGAAAACGAGTCGAAACCCAATGAGAACCCTGGAATTCATAAGACAGATGAGGCTTTAGTAAATAATGGGGGAAGAAGGAAATCACCAAATTGCTCCGCAGAAAATGCTGAGTTTAGTTTACAATGTCAATTAAATTCTAAAGTTTCCACATTTACATGGAGAAATTATACTCAACTCAAGAACGCGAACAATACGGAGAAAAATCACCATTTCTCTAAACTAAACACTCACACAGTAATCTCATTCACTCACCCAAATTCAGACTTGTCAGATTGACGCGCCCAAGACAGGTTAATAAAAAAAAGAAAAAGGGAAAAATTGAAGAACAGATTTACCTGCAAAGGCTGAGACAGAGGAGAAAGACAGCGAGGAATTTGTGAACGCGCTGCAAAGAAGGGTTTCGGAAGAAATTGAGCTCTTGCCCTTGACATTGAGCGACACAGAGCTCCTCGTTCTCGATACAGCCAGAAGGGAAAGTGATGCTGATGGGGTGTTGAAAGCAGTGTTTCCTCTGTAAGACGCCATTGTTACCATTGACAAGCAGCACGCCATTTTCCTTCACTGCTAATCCACACTCTTTCTTGTGATCCTTTTGAATTGTGTTTGAGGGGTTTCTGAAATTTTGCCTTATCTTGTTCTCTGGCCTCACTCTGCGCGACAAATATTACCCTCAAGAATTTGGGCTTTGTTGATTAAAATTGGGCTGATTGTAAAATGTATAAAAGTAATAAGTTGGGCCTTCTATGCTAAGTTATTAGATGGGCTAAGAAATTAGGCCCGGTAGCATTTGTAGAAGACTATATAGCGACTATGGGATTTTCTTGTAAAAATATTCGTTAAATTCACCAAAACAAATTGAAGAGTACACACTTAGAAATAAAAATAGAAAACCTCCAAAGGATATCTCCATTCACAAACACTCATTGTCAAACGACTCAAACCCATTTAGGTTAGTTCCATGAGGTAGTTTATGGATGTGAAGGTTTTAGCCAAGGGTGGAAGACGACTCAATTACATATGAGATGATAACTTAGAAGACCTAGGGAGCCTCAACAGAACCTATATGAGAGGACCTAAAGAAGGAAGAATAAACGTGTGTGAATACAATAGTGTAAATATGGTGATGTGAACGCAAGTATATATGAATAGTGTGAACACGGTAACAAATACTTTGGCAATAAGATCGAATCGAGCCTGAGCAACAAGGATACTTGGAGAGCAAGATCAGACGAATTTTGAGCAACGAGGTAGTAATTATATACAATGGGGTGATGTATGAACAAAAATGCTATGGAACCATCGGATGATTCCCTTATGGAGCAATCCATAACTTTATGTATTGACACGTGTGCAATGTGCATTTATTGCAGGACATGTGTCAATCCACCATTTGTTAATAACTATGGATGGCTCCATAAACCGAGCCATCCGATGGCTCCATAGCAAAACCGGATATATGAATATTATCCTTCTATTTTCTCAAAAAATTCTAAGTTATTAATTACTATACACCATTACTTCCAATAAAACTGACTTGAGTGTCGGAGGTTCGACGTCGGGACAATCCCGACGCTGTTTTGCAGGTAATTAAAGCAATTCGAGGATGGTTCAGACAACGTTAGACTGGATCGAGGTTGTACACATCAATATTTTAATTTCGCAAAAAATGAAAAAAAAAAATATAAAAAATTATATTAACTGTTAATTTTTCTATAAAAACATGGAGTTTTAATCTCATATTTGCCCTTCAAGTCGTTGATGATTGCGTGCTTGCCATCACATAGAGAAATAAGTTATTGGTGAGCTTAACTCGATCCAACTCAAGTCAATTCATTGAGATTCGAGGTCTATCCATCTCATTTATCAAAAGTTCATTTAATTAACGAGCAGAGCTAGGCTAGACTTGTTAATGGTTGAATACACAAATTTGTATGTTTTTGTCTAAAGCTCAATTCGTTAAAACTCAAATTTATCTAATTAATGTTTGATAATCGAACCTAATTTAATCTCATTTAGTTAACTCGGTGAACATTCAATAAAATTTGGAGTACTACGATGCCATTTAAGCAATTACGCCCATACCATCTCTCATTCAAATTCGAATAATGATAATATTTCTTGTATAGTTGCACATAGGGCTGCAAACGAGTCGAGCGGCTCACGAGCCACTCGCGAGCGCTCGAGTCAAAGCTCGACTCGAACTCGAGTTTGACCGAACTCGAGTCGAGCTCGAGCCAGTATTTTGCCTTGTCGAGCGGCTCGATATATATTAAATTACTAAAATACTCCTTAAATATATTTAAATAGCAAAAAACAAGTGTTTAATGGTAATTTCACTTAAAAAAATCTGAGCCGAACTCGAGCATTTGATTTCGAGTCGAGTTCGAGCCGATCTCGAGCTATTATATTTTCTTATCAAGTCGAACTCGAGCTCGAGCAGCTAAAAAAAAAAATTTAATCCCTGCTCAATAAGGCCAATGCTCGACTCGGTTCGGTTCGTTTGCAGCTAGTGTTGTTAAATTAAACGAGCCTGGCTCGGCTCGGCTCGTTAAGGCTCGAGTTCGTGGCCTTAACGAGTCGAGCTCGAGCTCATTTATAGCTCGTTTGGCTAACGACTCGATAAGGTCCGAAACTTGAATTTTATATAAATTTTTATAGTTTGGCTCATTAAAGCTCGAGGTAGGCTCGTTAAGGCTCGACTTCCAAACCTTAACGAGCCGATCTCGAGCTCGATTTCAAGCTCGTTTATTTAACGAGCTGAGCTCGACTTGTTAGAGGCTCGAGCTCAAGTTCGAACACCCTAAGCTCGAGCTCGGTTCGGCTCGTTTACAGCCCTAGTTGCACATGATTGAGAGTCACAAAATTTATCAAATCACTCGTATTAGTGTTGTCAACTTTGTCAGCGACGTGTTTGTAAACATTCTAAATTTCTAATAAGGACAACGTGACTATTACAATTCCACATGATTGTGAATCACGAGTTCGCTTACAACTTGTATCCAAAGTGGGTCCTCCACACGCAAGTTGAAAGCCGACTTACTACTTAAGCATAGCTTAAGTCCATCATGAATCTGCGAATAGCTTAATTGAGCCCAGCCAACAGACAAATGGAGTAGAGTCCATCCCACCTTACCGCCTATTCGTTATGTGCGAAACTGACCCAAAAATTTTTTTTTTAAAAAATGAACATATTCGGAAAATTGATCTGACGGTTTTGCGTATTAAAGTTGTTGCTTTGATGTTCAATTATATCCAACTTACCATAGTGTGTTTGTTTTAGGGGTGTTCACGGTCCGGTTTTAACCGTAAAAAACCGTCAATCCGGACCGCGGATCGATTAAATGGTCAGTTAAAAAAGCCTTAAAAAATCCGGTGATTAATTTTTCTAAAAATCCGGAATAACCGGTCCGGTTAACGGATTACCTTCGGCAAACCGCCAGTTTAACCGGACCGGACCGATAAATATTAAAAAACTATAACAAATATATATATACATTAATTCATTCACTATGGCCGACAAATACATTAAATATGAATGTTTTGCTCTTATTATTTCAGGTGTATAAACTGACTGAAAAATGAATGTTTGCTTGGGTTCAGTTTGCATAATTTAATCTTCATCATTTTTGTATTTTTATGTTTTTAGGATGAAATGTGTATTTTTATGCTTATGGGACGAATTGTATATGTTTTTATTTCATTATTGTTATTTTTCTTAATTTTTAGGCCTAAATAATCTCTTTTGGACCAAAATTGAAAAATAAAAACTAAGCCCAAAATGAAAAAAATAAAAATTTAAGGCTCAAACCAAGGATTTTGGATTTAACCGGTTAACCGCCAAACCGGACCGTCCAATGCGGTCCGGATTGTGGTCGGTTAAAAAATAAAACCGATTCGGTTATGGACAAAAAGAAAAAATTAACCGTTAGGTCCGATTTGGTCATGGTTTGGGCTAAAACCGGACCAATCCGGACCGTGAACACCCCTAGTTTGTTTGTTGGAATTTTGCAAGTAACTATACACAAATCATGCTTGGTAGAAGACCAAAATACCTACTTAGAATCTCACTTGTTTTTGGAACTTCTTATCAATTGCAAGAAACAACCCTAAAATATATTTGATAAAAATATGGTGAGTGATTCTTTTTTTTTTTCTCTAGAAATTTCATTCTGAAAAAATACTCTCAAAACAGAATATCTTAATCATAGTCTATTCACATAATGTGTCAATTTACTTGTCGAATAAAATTTATTGATCATTCATAATTAACTTACAGAAATTACTAACCTGAATGATGATATTTAGATATATGGATGATAAATTCACAATATTAAATAGAGGTCTCCCTTTAAATTCATGTACTCGAATATTATTTTCAGAAAGACGGCTATTCATGAATTAAACCATAATGAAACTATGTAAGGAATTAAGAGTATATGTCTTTTATATAATATTGTTATTAGTAGTTTTGCATTCAACAAAGCAACATGCAAACACATTACATATTGAACTGAACATGTGAGAAAATCCTTAATAATTTCAACTAATATATCTGCTGAAAAGCCCGTGACATGTGCTTTCAATCAAATACAAAAGAAAATATCAAATATATCTCACAATTTCATTTTAGATAATATAATTTTTCTTTGTCTTCACTCTTCCATGAACCAACTCTGAGACAAAGGCAGACCCAAATGGGCCACAAACCTCACATGCACACGCACTTATACTCGAATACGTCCAACATTTCCAGCCACCTCCCCCCATAAACACCCTTAATTTCAAATGTATCAAAAAATAAAAATTTATAATTATAATGGGCACCTAATAATTCACCTTTTCAATTTACACAAAAAATAAAATAAAATCACAAATCAAAACTAAAATGTCCCCTGTATAAATTTCCACCAGGGCTGAGGAAAAGCAATAA